TTGGGTGAATTGGGGCAAGGTGCCTGGACGGAGGGACAGGAACCTGATGATGCGATGCGCGTTTGGTCAACCAACATCCAGGGAACATCCATCCATCCATCAACATGATATTGACAGTAAATAACCGTCAGTCAGTCAACAAACGTCCCTCCCTCCCTCCCTCAGTCCCCTGTCTGTCTGTCTGTCTCTGCGCTCTACGCTCTCCGCACCCACGCATACATACATATACACGTACACACATCACATGACAGCTTGGCCCTCTTCCGCCGCCGCCCACTGTGGCAGCTCCCCTCCTCCCCTCTCCGTCCCTCGCTTCTGTTCCCACCCTGTCACACCGTCCCCCTCTGCTGTGCTGCAATGCTCGACAAGGCCCCTCTCCAGTAAACTCAGCGGAGGACCCACCAAATCCAGCACATATGGCCCGGCGATGCCCTCCTGCACGAAGCCACCACACCACCTCGGGATGGCCTCTTGCACGGCATCCTGGAGCGAGGAGGGTCGCAGGGCGAAACAATCGGGATTCCTCTGGTGGGCGGCCTCCACGCGGTCGAGAAGGCTGGTCAATGCCGAGAGAGTCGACGCAGCGGGGGTTGTGCTCGGGGGAGAGTGGGTGACCAGGGACAGACACACGTACATCTGCCCCCCGCACACACACACGCGTAGCACATACGTATGGGACGGGCGGCTGACAAAACTCATACGTGCGTGTGACACACAACATACTCACTCACCTGGTGGACAAATGAGGCGCTCATGGCTCGTCTGCGGTGCAGCTCCTCGAGCAGCACAGCCACCAGCCCCGGGTCATAGTAGTAGGGGTGCAACAACGCATGGGTGACGCTCACCATCCCCAAGTCGACCATCCCTTCGTGACCCTGACGCTGCTGGTGCTGCTGGGGCTGATGGTGGTGGGACTTCTTGCACACGCCCAGTTGCCCCTCTACCGCCGCGACAAGTCGGCTCTTCATGGCCTCCGGGCAGCGCCAATCGAGCTTGGCCAGGGACACCAGCACGTGCGCCAGGTTGCGGCTGTCAAGCTCGTACAGCCGGCGGTCGATGTGCGTCACCAGCACAGATATCACCCCTTGATGCCGAACCGCCAGCCGACCGTACGAGTGCAGCAGCAGCGCCAGATTCATGCCAGAGCACACAGACGGCCGCAGGATATCGGCCTGTTGTGAGTGGTCAGCAGAGAGCAGCCGCACGCTGATCTGGTCGAACAGGGCGTCGCATCTCCGCCAGAAGCGAGCGTATCCGTTAGCAAGAATGGACAGCTCACGGCCGTTGAGATGGCCGACCACCTCTGGCAGCCGCTCGTCGAGTCGGTCGAACAGCCGCCGTCGGTGGAAGCCCACTTTGGCGTACGCATTGACTACCATCACAAGCTCCGGCGGCTTGAACTCCCGCAGACGGGCGGCGATGCGGTCACCGAAGGCGTCGAAGAGTCGGGGCGATTTGACCTCCGGCCGGCTGTCGGCAAACTTGGCGTAGCCGTTGAGCGCGTTGGCCATCTCCTGCGGCCCGAACGAGTCGAGCTTGTCCATGGCGGCCGTCTCGAGAGCTACAAAGAGGTCATGGTGGAAGGCCTCCAGCCGCGCGTAGGCGTTGACGATGTTGGCAATGCCCTGAGCAGATAGCTCCGCCACGTGCCGCATGGCGGCCACAGCCAGGCCGTCGCAGAGCTGCCTCAGGTACTTGGGTGCATGGGGCGACGTGAGGGGCGGCGACAGACGGGCGAAGGCATTGCAAAGCTGAGATACGTCGGTGCCTTCGAAGGATGGGGCGGTGCGTTGGAGCAACACACTGGCCGCCACCTCCATCAGCCTCTCGTGCCGGAAGTCCACCCTGGCGTACGAGTTGAGAATAAGCGCCAGCCATCGGATCTCCACCGCCGATGAGGAGCCTGAGGCCTCCTGCTGCTTATGATGCTGCTGCCGCTGCTGCTGCTGCGTCTGTGTGAGTACGCCGATGAGTACGTCCCCCAGCTGCTGCCAGAAAGGCGGATCTGTGAATGCATAGCCGGCGAACTTGTTGCAGAACATCGACACGGACCAGTAGAAGTCGACCTGCTTGTGGTTCTCACTCGGGAGGGCCCTGACCAGCTGATCAGCGCACTCACGCAGCACTGCCGGCGATGGCTGCGGCTCAGAGATCAGTCGCTGAGAGATGCGCCGCAGCATGATGATGTCGACAGCAGACGGTGTATTATTCAGGACAAGAAGCCAATCCTTCGCCAAGGTCTATGCTGCTCATTCTCTTGCGTGCACGTCTAAGCTCGCAAACCCTGCGCCCCAGCTGCTGCGCCCCAACAAACCCTAATACTTTCGCTTTGGGGGCTTTCTCCCATTGCAGGGGGGCGGGGAGGCCGGGGAATGGTTGTTGGTGTGATGGGCTGTCTGTGTGGAGAGTTTGAGCGGATGGCCTTGCGTGTGTGAGAAGTGGGTATGCGGCAGGGGGGGTATCGATGGGGTGAGTGCGTTGAAGTGGTGAGAGGTGCAACTTGGTGGAAAGGGGGAATAGCGAGGCGGTGGGTGTTGGCACTTTTCAGAACTTCTTGCAGATAAGCTATACAGTCAATACTCGTCCTTCCACGGCATCGCCAAGTTGGCCAAAAGCCCATGGACACAGAGAGAGAGGGAGAGACAACCAGTGCGTGCAGGGGTGAGTGGCTGTGTGTGGGGTGTTGTGTGTGATGCACACACACACAGACAACACACACAGACTCAGACAGACAGACAGACAGACATGCTCGGCTCGGCCCTTCGGGCCTCGCCTTCGCATCATTGCACACAGACAGAGAGAGAGAGTGTGTGTGTGTGCAGGGGGGATGGATGTGTGTGTGTGTGTGGGCCTATGGGATGCACACACACACACACAGAACACACACAGCACAGACACGCTCAGGCTCGGCTCGGCCCTTCGCACGACAGACACACACAGACAGAGAGAATAGAGTTGTGCAGGGGTGAATAAATAAATGTGTGTGGGGGGTGCGGTGCATGGCTTGCGATGCACACACACACACACACACACACACACGTGCATTATCACATCGACGGGGTGGCAGTGGAGGTGCACCACACCCGCATAGGGTTGTGGAGACCGATGTGATGCTCCAACAACACCCTGTCTGTATACAGCCCCTCACGGACGTCGGTGGCGGTCGATGTGCGTCACCAG